AAGGTACTAACCTATTCTCATTTCGATTAAAATTATTCAGATAGGTTTCCGAACAAAAAAAAAAGAAAAAAATTGTTTTTTTGTGTTAACTATAGATACCAACATATTTTTGATTTTTCTGATTAAAAGTTGAAGAAATTTAAATTTAAAAATATAGGTTAAGTTTTATAAATAATAGTTTAGTAGGTACTAGAAAATAGGTATAAAAGGAAATATATCACCTTAATCTCCCTTTTTAAATACGCCACTGAAGTAGGCTATTGTAAGAGGTGGGGAAATATGAAGTAGGATATAATAAAGTCTATATAGTTTAGTTTATGATGTATGTAATGATAAATTATTTTAAATTAAAACGATTCTAAATGGAATTCGGTTAAAACATTTGTCGATAAATTTAAATCGAATATTATATTATTTTTGTAATTATCATAATGTTATTATAACAATGAATTGTTTTTTTCGAATTTTAAATTTGAACTTAAAATTCTAATACAAGTTAAATACTAAATACGGTATAACGCTCAGTTTTATTTTTATTTAAAGATTTAAGTATAAGTATACAACTTACGATAAAATTTGTGTCAAATTTATGTGTATTTTCATAGGGTTAAAACAAGTTAATCCATGTAAAACCTAAGTAAAACCCTCGATAATTTCAAATATCTATGAATGTACTAAAAATACACCAGAATATTTTCAAAGTTGTATTGTATCTACAAAATTTTAACGTTCATATTTCGAGAAAATTTCATATCTCTGCTATTATTTTTCACTGAATTACAAAAAAGTAAAAAAATTAAAATAAATAAACAATTTAAATACACATATAGAAACCGACATTACAAAAATGTATTTGATTTTTTTTTTCACTCGTTATTTCTCCATTATATATAGAGATAAATACGAGAAATATCGAAAAAATGAACATCTGCAATGAACAAACTAAAAATGGAATAGTACAAAGGAGTTTTTATAAAGTTTTTGATCAAAGCAATCAGTTTTCCGGTCGATAAAAATAGTTATTCGGCACAAACATAAAATTAAAAAAAAAAAATAATAATAATAAAATTTACTAAAAAAAAAAATACTTCACTATACTATGACATACGTTACAGGTACGTGATTTTTCGTAAAAAAAATCGTTTAGTGAAAACCACTCACAATATTAAGCCGCCTTATATTTCCATCATGACTAATTCACGCGTATTTCGACTAGGTATACAAAATCGATTTGTTTGTCAATCAATTATATATTATCTCTTAAACTTAATCACGGTAAATACTAAATACTATATGAATACGATTGTATTTATATAGCTAAATAACTCCACTTACTTAATAGTTTTTTTTTCTACTGTTATTAACAAAACCGATGTATAATTCAATAGTTAAATCAATAATATAATTATAATTATGGTATTATAATTATTTACAACAAATTTTAATTTTTTTGTTAATTGTGCGAAGCGAAAAATATATCGATTTTACTATAATGTGGTTTTTTGTGTATGTAAATAAATTTTCCCGCAGAAATATTTGTCCAATCAAAATCTTCATGGGAGCTATTCGTACAGATTTTGATCTAGTTAGGGTGTTGCGATTTTTTGATTTTTGATTGTATATTACTACAATGAAATCGGAATAAACTCGCAATTGTTGATATTATTTTTGTCGATTTCTAGGGTACTTTGGCAACAAGATAAAAATAGAATGAATAGTAAATCTGCTCAGAATCGTTTTTCTTGAGCAATAATTCGTCGTAATGTACAGATTAAATCAAATTACTTTACGCACCCTACCTTTTCAATTTCTTACATACAACAGTGTCACAACCACATGCGTAATGTGGTAAAATGTATTGGTAGAACTGAAGTATGTAACAAATTTTTAATCTGTATTTTCGTAGGGGATTCCCCTACATTCTTCTTCCCATCAGGTAAATAATTTAGTTAAATATTTGTTTTCAAAGTTATAAACGTAAGCGCCTATTTTCTTAGGAGTACCTATATCTCTAAAATATCTTTTTGATTTACATTATTAGACATTTTCTTTTCTATGTTTAGAATGGAATAAGAAACAAAGCTTCGTGGGGATTCATAGTTTCAGATTGCATGCAAGCATTTATTCTTCTTATGGTTGAAAATTATCTTTCATAGGACGCAGAGAACACTTGTATGACGAAATAAATTAATTTTCAATAAACCATTACAACTAGGTATATTATAAATGTAAAATATTTTTAATATTTAGATTGGGTACTTAAGTTTTTTTTGGGAGGGGGGCTAATATTCATTTAAGAGATCTAAAATATCGCTAAATAAACTATGTACACTAATCAGTAGTATTAGTAGATTTGTTTTTTTTTTCATCGCAATAATGCACTACATTATAAATACGTATAAGTCTCGTTATTATTTAGAGCATACGTTTTCATAACCTTTATACAAGACGTCAATGCACGCTGCATTGACTGGTTCGGTTCAAAAATAACAATAATCGACAATTCACCGCTATATTGTCTTTATTTTGCCCCGAGCTTTTTTCTAGGTTATATGTGTATGTCGTGTAGGTACCTATGTATACTGCAAACCGGCGTACCTCGTTTGTCTTCTGATTTTAACGTGGTTTAAAATCTGAATACTGTGGTGATAAATATAGATTACGAAAATAGAAAAAAATTGGTGTGTGAACACGCGCACGAGAAGTGAAACTTCTCTCGGAGTCGCGGATTTAACGAGATGATGAAAAAAACGATGACGAACAAAAACCAAAACTATTTATGATATTTTCATATTTCGTATTATATATTTCGTGCATATTCAGAACCGTGCAGTTACTGGGAAATTCCGTCATTTCCGCGTCCTTCATAAATCATATATATATATATATATATAATATGGTTTTTCACTCGTATTTAAAACAAAATACAAAACCTAACTGTGTGTTTCGTTACTTTTTGCAGACAAAAATTTTTTTTTTTAGTTCCTCCGTAAAGAAGTTTCACTTTGATATTGTTGTAGATATACGTAGATAAATTCGCGTTTCACAAAAAATACTTCTCATAGGTTTGTGTAATAAAAGTAATTCATTTATGCATACATTATCGAAGATTTATTACAAATTATTCAATTTCAATTATAATTTTGGATTACTTACGTAATTTTACGAGGGCTATATATAATACATATGTATTTGGTCCTAGGGAAGAAAGGACTCAAGTCGATTTTTGATATTTTGTTTTTATACCTTTGTCGTATGTGATTTTGTTCCGTTTAATTTCAAGTCTGAATGACATAAGTGTGCGTATTCTAATACAAGGTGCACTGATATAATTAAAACATCTATAGTCACTACGTAATTTACTTTTGTTTAGAAAAAAGCATACAAGTTTAAATTTATTACATAACAATTTAGCTATTTAGCAATATTATGTCATCATGTCATGATTAGAAATTCTCAATATTAAATTCATATGTATCGACAATTACATAAAATTGAGCCGAAACACGAAGCCATTTAGGACCAAAGAAACAATTATACGAATACCACAGATGATATTTACAGTTGATTTTTGAATATAATGCGATTTTCGAAAAAAAAGTGATATTGTCTAATGATTCTGTGTGTATGCCTAAATACGTGTGAAATTTATTCGAATAATAAAAGATTTTATGCACATATCCATTACAAAATCAAGCTGTCATTACAACCATGACGTGCATTTCAAATGTTATCTTATAGACTCTGCGTTTCTCTTTCACCAAATATATAAAAATAATATAGTATAAATCGGAATATCTGCAACAATCATTATAATATAGACACACGTTAAATTAAAATATCAATGGCAAAGTATAATATAAAAAAACAAACCGTTATACTTCACACGATGGGTGAGCCACTGTTTTAGGTAAGAAGTTAGAAAGGTAGAGGGGAAATCTAATGTATATCTGTACGCAACGATTGTTTATTGCTTACGAAAAATAATTCTGAGCGGAGTTCAGTTATACATGTTTTAAAAAGCTGTAAATTTTCTCGTTTTTCCTACGTTTTTTGAGTGTGTCACTGTTATATGTAAAAATCTGGGAAGGTAGAATACATAAGTTAATTGAGTTATTTAATTTATACAGCCAACAATGAATCCAATGAGTTTGGATAAAAGTTGTTTTGAAATGTCGTACAATGTCTATTAAAATTTTAAATAATAATAAAAAAAAAAAATACCAATACGCCAACTTTTTTTTTACCATATTTTATAATGAATCTCGTGTTAAATTTCTGGCGTTTTTGCTCAGCCAAAATAATTTTATTCACACAGAGCCACATAAATTAAACAACAAAATTTTTAAAATTTAAAATGTCTTTAAATAGCTTTAAATAGCTGTTTTTTTATCACGTATAGAAAGGGAAAATAATATTTTGTAAAAATTTCAGATCTTTACGATTATTTTTAACAGAATTAAAATAATAAAAACCAAGGGAAATCGTTATTGCATAAATTTGCTCTTTTTTTCCACGTATTTAGCGATAGATAAAAAGGCACACATCGTAGTAAAATCAGTAGATTGCATGCTACGCTCAGGATCTAAAAAATAATAGATAGAACCTCCGATTATGTATAAGTACTTTGTTTTATATCAAGAAACAAAATGTTGTGAACAATTAAATTCCTAGTGATTATACTATGTTAAATTTTCGCCCCTACTTTCTATTTGCTCAAACCATGTGTTCCTTTGGTGTTAAAATAATTCCCTGCGAATTACTGAGATTACGTTAATTACTGAGATTTGTCAATAATCAAAATATAGGTACACAATTTGATATATTTTAAAAGTAATTATACAATAAATTATGCAAATAATATTATAATATTACTAAAATTACGAGATTTTCATTTGATTGATTTTTTGATTTCAATTTGGTATGTTTTAGAGTTTTTACACCGAGTTTTATTTTTGGTTGATTGGTGTATTCCAGACAATAATTTTCCCATGTAAACTCTACCGCATGAAGTGACTGTTTGCCAACAGACTTTCTTTGGAGTCACTCCGTTTGACGAACGAATCCGATTGGGCCCGGTATAGAAAAGCCAATGACGTAATCAACAACGACGTTAAACTCAGTGAAATTGCTTTTCCTGTCAGCACGGCCAAAATCGGCAGGAACAAAATCAACTTGGCGGCCGCCCCGAGCATCAAAGTGTATACGTCCCACGGTTTTTTCTTCGATATTTTCCTATCTGGAAAAACCCCCCAAAAAACACATTTACAGAATATCAGTTAGGAAGTTTACTTCAAAACGCACAAAAAAAAAAAAAAACAAACTGTTTAAAAATTAAAGATGTTACGAATTGTATGATTTTTGAATCTAATCGAACCGAACTATAAATTGCAAATTATCGAACCAAACCAATTATCCTATTGTTTAGTTCGAAAATGAGTCGATTCCTGTTTAGCACGGTCACCAATAAGGTTCACTGCGCGTGCTTCTATCGTTCAGCCACAGGATTTTGATTCTAAATTAAATAATGTTTTACAATTTCTTTGAAATTTGAAATTTTTTTTTTTTTTTTAATATTCGGTACGATAGAATATTTGAAAAGTTCGGTTCGGTTCGAGTTCGGATAACAATGTATGGGTCCGATAAGGTCCGTCAATTTCGTGAAAAGTTCGGTTGGACGGGTTGAAAACGTAAGGGTTCGTAACATACGCTACATAAAATACGCACAATTGTGTTCGAGTGTATTTACCTCCTATTCCGTTACTGTCGTCGTCGTAGCCGTCCGGAGTCCAAAACGACCCGATCGTTTCGTCGGCGTATAATCGTTTCGCCAACCGTTCAAAGGCATCCTGGACACCGGCGACCGTCAAATCCGGACGGACCGTCGTCGTCGGGATGTGCAAATCGCCAGGTCCGCGGCCCGTGTCCGAGGGGTTTTCCATCGACGGCGCGTCCCCGACACCGTCCGAAATCGAAGCCGCTCGCGATCCGCCGACCCAAAATACCGACAGGAACAAAATCTCGACGGGTCGCATTGTGTGTTCGTTGTAAATGCCTCTGCGTTCGGATGTACGGATCCTATGTGTACTGATGACGGTCCGTCGTCGATTCGTATTTATACGCAATCGTATATTGCCCGCTTGCCGTATGATTATGCGCGCCATTAGGACGCGTATTGACCGTAAATATAACACGGTTCGTATATTATAACCCCGCGGGCTCGAACGATAGATAATTACACGGCATTTGGACTCGAAACGATCGGGTCTACTTGTACACATAAACGACGTAATATTATAGGCATAACAGTACGCGTTTAAAGACGGTTTTTAAAACCCGAACGTCTTCGGTGCATATTATAAATACGGCCAAATTTTCTATACAAAATACGTTTTGTGGTTTTCACTCCGATATTTCGTATGCCGCAATAATGTAAAAACGAAAATATTATTATTTCCCCGGTCGCCATATAATACGCCTATACCACCTACTCATCAGTCGCATTACAATATCGTAGCAGCAGTATGTTCATTGTGTGTTTTGTGAGTTGTCACCGTGTATTGTTATACGGCAGATGACACGTTTCGCGAATATACGTCTTTTTTTTAATTACGATTGACGTTTTTTTTTCCCCCGATTCCGAGAGGCGCGAGGAATGTATTGCAGATTTTACTGTGATGACGTGTCTTCATGTCCGATGCGTTTTCTTTTCAGTTCAAACGAAGCCAACGAAATAATATTCTACACCAGTTTTTATTACCGTCATCTTCTCGTCTCGTTTTGGGTCTTTACGTTTGTACGCGCCCGACATACGTGAATTATTTAAAACAAAATATTAAGTTGAATATTTGGACACGTAAATCGATTTCGAAAAAAAAAAAAATCAATTGACGGGATTTCATTGCGATGCTCTTTTCTTCTTCTCCTCGTCCGACCGTTATTATTGCTTCAAAATGCCCTTCCATTTATTTCTTACTTGAGCTACTTCTCTAAAAATACGTCCAATCCTTAGTCGTGTTAATCTCTTTTTGCTGTTATCTATCCATCTCTATTTTGGTATTTCTCCCTTCCGGGGTCCAGTTTTCGACACGGTTTGCTTTAGACATTTTAACATGATCGAGCCAACTTAGTCACGGTGCAGTGAGTCACTTCAGCAACGGATTTTCGCCACTAAATTTGGAATAATTTCTGGACTTCTTTGCTCTTATCTCATAAGCTTGCTTATAGTCGTTTTTCTATTGATATCGTTCATAATATACTTATAATAATTCTCAGAATATTTCCACTTCAGTCTATACTTGTTTTTTTTTTTTTTAAATATATTATATCAATTTATATAAGTATATTTTTTCATATGTTTATCAGAGCCCCAGAGGTATTTAATCAACGGAAATCAGGATCATCTCGACACACTTTTGCAATATAACAATGTGCGAAGACACTTTTCATCATATTATAATAACAATAATAATAATAACGTCCTGTTTATTGACTTTGCATGCCATTGTTGCGGCCGGGCCTCGTGATGCCAAAATCTCGAGCCATTAAATAAATTCCGGACGTCTTAGACAATGCGTACGTGCGTGGCTTGTCCTTAACGCGCGATATTCCATAGGACGAAGAATTTAAGGGAAAAACGCTTTCGGTTTTAATTTTAAACTATGCGCGCGGTCATAACTATGTATACATAGTATCTATATACACGTACATTGTACAGTTTCTAACGTTTTCGTACCGTATAAAATAACACATTAGGTTATACATTTTCTATATCATAATTGTACTTTTCTATTTATCTATACCGTATTGGTGAAGCACTCCTAAATTGGCGCCGAGCACGTTTAAAATGGAAAAATACAGATTTGTGGCATTCAAATATTATAATTAAACGATTATAAACATACGGGTGTTTGACGCAAATTTGTCTACTTATAATATTATGCTAATTTTTCGGCTTTTGATAACAGCTGTAATATTTATCAGCATATGTAGCTCGCGTTAATACACATTTTTACTTAGCTATCCCGCGGTTATTCGAGTCAGACATAATAAATTTAACAACGACCGATTTCAAAAATTATATGAGGTTTGAAAGTTCAGATGGCCACAGAGCATTTTCGTGGGAGTTTTCAAGGGCGGTTTTATGGTTCTCAGGTGCCTAATAAATAAACTAATAGTGCATCCAAGATTTTTAATCACCGAGGCAAAACAAATTTTCATTCCCCTTCCCATTTACGTTGAGTACACCCATATTTGAACATAATTTTTTATTATATTTATTCCAATTTTCCTTTTTCTATCCTCCGAAAATGTTCTCATTCATCCCCTCTCCTAACTCAGGAGCGAATTTTCACCATTAAACTAAATGTATACGCTATTTGAGATAGTAAATATAGTAGTATATCAAAATTTCTTGTAACTACGGCTTATGTTAATACTAAGTATCAACGTAAAAAGTAAAGTAGTTATTTAGAATTAATGTAACTGTATTGTTATTCCATTGAGTTTATCAGAAATAATATTATTTAAAAAAAAAAAAAAAAATGTATTTATAGAAAATGCAAAATATAAAAATCCGTTATTTTCGAAAAAGACGACTTACGAGCATTTTAGATTGAGAGTTGGTACATGGGTCTGGTACCATATTTTGGAATTACGAAGACATTTTTTGTTTTCCTTTTGTTGATTCATTTTAATTATCGGGTGTTCGGCACTATATACACACTTAATGCACCCAATAAATAGAAATCGTTCCTCGATTTGTAAACGGAACATAGATGGCGTCACGAGAAAATTCAACAAATCCTTATAATAATAATAATAATTTTATGTCGAAATTACATGCTCTCAACGTTTTTGTCGCCGTCCAATAATTAAATCGAAGATTACGTATTTTATCTTGTTTACTGTTCTCCCTTAAAATATTCCGTGTATTAAAAATCCTCCATTAGAAATACCTTTATATAAATCAAGGGTGTCCAACCTTTTGTGAAGACTAGGCCACATCATGTGAGTGGAAGTTGTTGTGGGCCACATACATTTATAATTTTACCATATCGAATAATGAGCAGAGATTTTTTACGAGCTGTTATATTTTATTACAATATAATTACAAGAAGAAAATATGTTTATTTATAATTAAAAGAAAATAATATTTTTAAAATAACAATAAAACTTGTGACATTTGAAATTGCTTTTTCATGAATCAATGTCCGGTTAGTTGAAATTGTGGTAATCCTCAAAATAACTTTTACGGTGCTTGTCTGATGTAGTGAACAGATTCTTACTCTTGGTGTTTTTCATTCTTTAAAGCAATTGTTCGCAAATATAACTAAAGCGAAGTTATATGCTTGATTGTGGAGAACAAGATATGTTTCTTTAGATAAATGTAATTTATAAAAGAGCGTCTTAAGAAGGGACACGGTTGCGGCCACTGTTATAGGAAATTTAATGTATACCTTAAGCAACGATAAACCATTTCTTACGAAAAAACGATTCTGAACGGAGTTCAATTGAAAGTGATGCTTTGTCAACAATATAATACATGCCATATTATAGAAAAATAATTTAAAAGGCTCTACATATTTTCTTTAAAAATACTTTTTTTTAATGTTGTACTGATTTCCTCGGTTTTCCTACGTTTTTTCCGGTTTTCTTATATTTTTCACAGTTTTTCACATTTGCTGAGAAAACTCCAGAGGTAATCGAAAAAACAACATTTCTAGGGTACCTCCCCAGTAAAATTTCCTTTCAGAAAATTTGCTATCATCATAAGTTGGAGCAAAATTGATGGTAGAAAAGTTGTCCACAGAAAGAAAAATCTTAATATTATATAAATATATTTTATATATTTTCCCGTTTTTTTTTTTTTTTTTTTTTTTT